ATATCTTAATTATATGATACCATAGATAACCACTCTAATTTACCCTTCCAAATAATATTTGCTGCTTGTGATCAAGCATATTATTTTAAGAATGTTCTTCATGAGACAAAAGAGAAGAATTTAACCAGCAAGATATGTTCTCAGTATTTTCCTTTTTTCTTTCCAAGTATTTTCAAAGTGGATATGTCACTTTTCAAACATGGCAAATTTAATGTTTGTAGCAAACAAACTTGGGTTTCCACAGCTGGCAGGAATGAGCCGAGGTAACACTGTCATAGAACATACTTTTGCAAGGGACAGAGTCCTATTCGAATAAGAGCAAGAAAATACAGTATATTAAACAGACACTGATTTAATGGATTCCAAGGTGAAGTTAAACCTCCAGACATAAGAAGGGCAGGAACCAGGTGGCCCAGGGGCCTCGGCGGCAGACGTCCATGGACTCTGACTTTCATAGCCCTCCACAAACAGTGAGAGACAGTGAGTCTGGTTGGTTTGGTCCAGCCTAGGTGTAACTGGCTCCTTCAGGCTAGGTTGTACTTTTGATTAAATTAAAATAGTCAGGGATGTTGAGTAGTGGCAGTGGCAGGATTTGGGAGGAGAACATATTTCCTTAGAAGGTGTACGGAAGGGGAAAAATAATTGGCATATACAGTATAATCACTAAAATAATTATTAATAAAACTTGGGTCATTCAAAGATGAAAGGTATCACTTGCTTCAAAGATAGCTCTGGAATTTCTGTGTCAACGTTTGAATTAATCTCTGTAAAAGATCAAAGCCTGACACTGACATACTTTTTTTAAAAAAGGAATTTCATGAATATAATTCAGAAGTCTCTACATAATATACTTTAGCTTCAAATTAGGTTGAACACCATTAGGATCAGAAACAACTTATTGTTATTACTAATGCCTATGAGAGTAACCGGTAGTAATAATTATTCCTTTAGAATTAATGTATAAATCATTACCTATGCTTCCTTAGCACTTAGAAATCTTAAAGCTATGCCAAGTCATCCAAACTGATAAACATATAAGTAAAATAGCAAATCTGGGCCAAGAAGATCTACTGAAAAATTTATTTTTCATTAACGTTGATAGATACGTATTGAAAAATCTTCATGATGCCAATTCTGGAACTATGACAATAAATGTTTGAAATCTAGATACTGTTAAAACTTTAATGATAATGTAATGAGGCAGAACTAATCAGCATGCACGATGAAGTATTAGCATCTCAGCTTCCAACACATGAGCCACAAAGGGAGCCTCTGCTCTTTTTTCCTTTCAAGCATCATTTCTTAGTATGGTACAACATGTCTTTCATGAATAAACATTCTTTCCCAGTAGTAATTTAAGGATTCAAAGAAAATCATCTGTATTCCTCTTCTATCTTTACCACTTTAAGCCTGTCCTTCAGTAAGGCCATAATGACCTGCAAAGATGTCGCTTCCTGGCTCAAGCTCTTTAATAGCTTTCCCTGGCCTACAGGACAAAGCTGAAACACTTTTGCAACCACAGAATGCAAATTCCTTCTAGTCTGGTCTGTACTTTCCTCTCCAGATTCATCTCCTCTCACTCTCAGCCTTACAGTTGACACTTCAGTAATAAAGAAAATACTTGCCGCTCCTACTCACTTTCTGCTGCCAGTCCTTTGCTCGTGCTTCTCCCTCCGATTGGAACACTCTCCTCCCTACCCCTTTCTTTATCGAAGGAATTTATAATGACTCAGCTCCTGTGAACATTCCCTGAGCCTAACAAATTGGGCTAAAATTCCCTCCATGTGATCCCAAAGTGTCCTGTGCATACCTCAATTGCAGCATTTTTGATATTACACTGACATTATCAAGTAGTGGCTCTATTTCTCCAGTAAACTATACGCTGGCTCCAAGTTGGACAATCAATACCTACGAGGGACTTGCAGGGTAGATTTGTTGAACAGAAGGGAACTTCTGATACAGTTACCCATTAATACTGTTTCTGACAGGAAAATATTAAGTCATTTATTTCATAAAGAATTTGAAACCCCACTGAAGTCAAGAAACTTACAAATTGGTTGTTATAAAAATATTCAGCTGCTTAAGGAGAGTGAATTTAATCTTTTAATTTTTCTTAATAGTTAGCCTTTAGAAAATGTCTGTTTATAAATATAGCCCAAGAGAATTTTCTTGGCAGGCTGGTTCACTGCCTGGAACCATCTCAACACTTTGCCTAAAGCAAGACAGTGATTGTTTAAGCAGTACACACACTGATGGGTCTCAAGGCATGGCTGAAATGGTGGTTTTTCACATCAGAGTTTTATAATTGTGACTGTCACAAATAATGTGATTTGTTTCAATCACCCAACATGAGCAGCTCATTTCTGTTCTATATTCTAAAGTCCTTATTATCTTATATTTTTAAGCAGAGTAAGACTATAAATAGAAACTTCACAAATGTTATACTAAATGCAAGAGAGATGTCTGTATGGTAAATAAATAAAATGGATAGATCACTGTATACATTGACTATTCATTCATAGATAATTCTGTGTCCTGCATTACCTGCATCTCTAAGGTAACAGTGATTTGGAATTCAGCACACCTGAATTGTCCAGATAACTGCTATTAATACAATGCTTCCATTTCATTATGTTAATCTAAGAATGGCCTAAGAACAATTTTTAAACACAGCAAATTGAGACGAAAAAGCCTTAGTAACAAGGCAACATTCTACTTTTTTGTCAATGACAGAATTAGAATTATTTCTAATCTATAATTTTGTTTTACATTCAGCAAAAAGGGCACAATCTAAAACCACATTAGAGCAGCTCCCTACGAAAGATCATTGTTTGGGGGTTCAAATTCAGTCTTTCAAAGCATTTTAATTATTAACGAGGGGGTATCTCAGAATTAAACATAGGCAAACATGGCAAAATGAACCCTCTACATCTTTCCTACCTCTCTCCTTAACAGGTATATAATCATTCACACTCTCTTGTCCTCATTTACAGAATCCTGTGATAAAAAAGCTCCTTACTTAGTATTATGCGTATCGATGGTATGGAAGAGCTCGTGTAATTCTTCTCCACTGAGAACACCATCTGCAAAATAGGCTTTGAATTCTTCAAAGGATAATTTTCCATCATCTGAAATGATAAGAACAGACAGAAGAGAAGCAAATTATTTCAACTTTGTACCTTGTTCTATCTTTTGATTTTTAAAACTTTGCCCAAATGCTTGTGCATGTATATTTGTGCATGCACACATATGTATTCAAAAAGAAAGAACAGTTGAAGGTGTTAAAAAGAAAAATAATGTAATATATCTTTATAGTACATAAAATGCAGGTGTGTACTCTCATGAAATATAAGTGTACATACTTTTGGGCTATTTTTTGGCTCATTTGTGCACATGACAAACATTTAACATTTAATGAGCCAATGACCTGACCGCACAAAAAAGATATCCACACAACCACATAAAGAGCTCAACACAGGGTCAATTATTGAGGTCTTTTGCCTTCGTGGTACCAAGCACATATAGGACCTAGCAGATTGCAGGATAAATATATGTTTAATAAATGTACATTGATTAAATAGATACTTGCATGAGGACATACGAGTTGCTATTACAGTCCAACAAACTATGTTCATTCCCATAACCCTTTAAACCAATGAGTACTTTTAAAGCCAAACACAGTTTACTTACTGTGGGACACAAAAGTAAAACCAAATCAGGGAGTCTAATAAAAGAGGATATACAGACATAGGTA